GTAAAGTCAAATCTTCAAACAAAATAAAATCATCGGCTTAGATAGTGTAATGGTCTTTACCTTAGATAAAATAAAATCTTTGGCTCAAACGGTGTAGTGATCTTTATCTCAGATGAAGTAAATTCTTTAGCTTAGACGGTGTAATGGTCTTTGCCTCGAATAAAGTAAAGACAAATTTTCAAACAAAATAAAATCATCAGGTTAGACAGTGTAATGGTCTTAGCATTAAATAAGGTAAAATCTTTGGCTCAGACCATGTTATGGTATTTGCATCAGAAAAAGCACAATCATCAGTTTAGACGGTGTGATGGTGTTCGCCTCGGACAAAATAAGAATCTTCGGCTTAGACGGCATAATGGTCTTCACCTTAAAAAAAGAAGTCTTTAGCTTTGATGGTGTAGTGATTTTCACCTCGGACGAAGTAGATTCTTTGGTTTAGGCGGTATAATGACCTTAGCCTCGGGAAAGTAAATTCTTTGCCTAGCATGAATACTACCTTCGCCTCAATTGGAGTAATTCTTCGCCAAAATGAGTAAAATTCGGAAAGAATAAATCCTAGAACCACTTTAACATTGGCTTTACTCCAAGAAATTCCAGTTACTTCATATTTGTTCTCCCTTGGATCTTGACAGTGAAGAAAGAAAAAATATTACAGTGAAGAGATATGTTCTCTAGACCACACAAAATTTCTTTTTATCACTGTCCAAATAAATAGGGTATATTGTTAGTATCCAAGGCATACGAAATGGGAGAAACTCCTAAAAATATATGAAGTTTAGAGTTAGTATAGTCTGCTATTCACACAGTTACTGAACTCTAGCTGTATAAGTGCAAATAAAAGGGAAGCATTTGAAATATATAAGTGCAAATATATTTCAAATAAAAGGGAAGCATTTGAGTGAAATATGAGTGTAACTTGCGAGAATCAATATGTGAATACATGAAAATTACTTACATATATAAGCTAAGCCTATTGGAAGTTTAAGAGCAACTGGTAAAATTCATGTGAAAAGCTAATTTACGTGGATCAAAGATGGAATCATAGCAGAAGTAATTCATCTAAAGACAATCAAGTCAATCCAGTAAAGATCCCACGAGCGATATATTGAGGAAGTCACTTGACTAGACTTAACAACATTGACTGAATTTGCAAGTGCTGACAAGTTTCACTTTTAAATTATAGCAAGCAACAAACGGATGAATTCATGAATGATCCAAGCAAGTAATTAATGCATAGATTAAAGAAACAAAAGTATTGCAATAAATAAAGTCATGTGATGCAAAAATCATGCAACGGTACAAGGGAAAAAGAAATTAATGTCGTATTCTCCCTATTTGAAAAGAGAAGAAGCTGAAAATAAAATTGAAGTAGGGGTATTTGTAAACATTTAAATTTTATCAGGTTTAATTCATAAAATAATTTGGACTATATTAATTAAGACACTAATCCAAACAAATATCATGGCTAGTAAATTGGGTTAATCCAACATATATGTGTTGGGCTGATCTATTTAATTGGACTACAAATTAAATGATAAGCCCACTTCTTAGTCCAAGGTCCAGATGGCTATTAGCCCATCTTAAAGTCTAGGTTCATGCCAAGCATTCCAAGTCAAATGAACGAACCAATAAAATCATGCCATGTGTCAAGAAAGGGTGCATACCAAGTCAAATTAACGACCAATAGAATTGTGCCAAGTGTCTAGATGGTATTGGCCGGTTCAAACGGACTAGTCAAATCGCAGAGCCACACCACTCTCTACAACTATAAATAGAGGTCTTCATAAAGTTAGAAGACACCAGAAGTGATAACAAAAAGCAAGGGAATCGGAGAGTTTGCAAAAAGCAAGCAAAGAGTTTGTGCATCAAACACTGCAAATTTCTCTACAAACTACAAGTTCAAGCACTCAAACACTCAAACTACACGTTCAAGTTCAAGATCAAGAACGAAACCAAATCAAATACCAAGGCATTCGTGATCAAATCCAAATTCAAGTTCAAGAAGGAAATTCAAGACCAAACTTTACAAGCGCTTGAACAAAATCAAAATCAAGCTCACTAAAATACTTTATATTCTTGAAGAATCAGAGGAATACTATAGAGATTGTACACTCAACATTTATAGAAATTAAATACTACATTTGTTATGCAATTTTCTAGACTTGATTATTTATTTATCTCGACATGAATATTTGTTGTTACACTCACTATAAGAATGTGTTTTTAGCTTGATTCTTGAGCCAATATCTTTAATATTGTGTGACAGGATTTTCTAGCTAAATTATGTTCTCTTGTATTTTGAGACTCTAATACGCAAATATTTTCTTGAGAATTGTTATATATTGTCTACATTATAGATTTGGACATTGGATCTTTATTCTTGAACTTTTTTAGTAAATAAAAATGCATTGTGAAATAAACAGTAGGTAATATAAGCATGTGCAACCTTTATTAGAAAAGATAGAATTTACAAAGAAGGTAAATAACAAATGATTTAAAACAAGGGAATTTCATGAATAATAAATCCTCTATTGCCATGAGCCCGGTGTCATGCCTTCAATTCTTGATTGCGACCAACGACACTACTGCACTAAACCAACCAATATTATCCGTTTTAGGTTAAGTTGCATGATTTTTCTCAAACCTCACACCATTAAGAGATTCTTATTGTAAGCTCCTAATTTTTTCAGCTACGACTTTGTTAACATAGCCAACAAACACTGTATAATTTAACTGATGCTGTGGCAAAGGGTGATGCCATCGCCGACGGGAAGTTGGCAGATTTCGATTTTCGGATCAGCAGCCAATGCCTTGTTGAGTTCTACTACAAAATCCCTATAATAACTAACATATTTCCTAAGGGGTGCATCAACTGGTGCTACCACTAATCCATTTCAAAGGGTGTTGTCATATCCAATTAGTCCACCAATCTTGACCAAGTCAAGCAATCTCTTGTGATAATTCAAGTAGTTGTCTTTATCAGGATCCACAAATATGAAATCATATGTTCCATGCTATTGCCTTGTTAATTACTTGCCGCCATTGTTTTATACAAATTAATATTGATGTCTTAAATAGAGAAATAGTAATCAAGCATATACGTTAATGATGTTTAATTTATTCAGGGGACTTTAGGTACTTACGTCTTCAAGCATTTGGTCAAGACCGGAAAGTGCAGGGCTTTCTTTGAATTCAATCTTGTGAGCTAGTCCAGCTTTTTCAATTACTGGAAGACCAATATGATAAGTTATGGTATCTTGTGTTTTGATGATTTGCCAAACAATCTTGAAGAACCAATTGTGATCAATTCCTTTGGTCTGGTTCTCATTGGGAATATGGCTGATTTGCAGGGGGAAAATATAGAGATCTGGTTCTCAGGGGGAATATCAATTCTAAATTTGTCATCATCAAAAAGGAAAAAATTGATAAGTCATGCGTCTTTTGTTTTGATGATTTGACAAACTTCATGAGAGAAACATATAAGGAACCTGATACAATTAGTTCTCTTGCGTTCAGAGTAACCAGTCAGATGTCTGATTCAATTCTTAATGAAATCAGACAAGGGAACAATAGAGGAAACAAATATGGATCAGCTCCCCTGGTCGTCATATAGTCAACTCTACACCCTTAAATATTCTCAAAACTTTAAGATCACAATGTTCCAGTTTGGGATCCAGTTTGGGATATGGCTCAACTCTTCAGAGTCGAAGGAATAGCTGCGGGAACAGTCCCTACCAGTTCTTGAGATGACTGTACGAAGTCAACTCTCTAGCTGGAAAGTGCTGCCTGATATGCTACAGTGCAGGAACAATGCAACAGTCACCTTTCTGCCGAAAGCTTTTTACCTACCTTGCTTACATCATTGTATGTGAGATCACACATGTATTATTAACAACAAGGGAGGTAAAACACAATTACTTGAACACTTGCAAATCAATAGAAAATATTTTCTCAAGTGTTAGCCACAACCTCTCTCAAGAACAAAGCTACTGCAACCTCAAGGACCAGAACCAAAGATTGAAGATATCTTAAGTCCATAGGTTTGTTGAGCCTTTGTTATTTGTTCTTCATTTGTAACTCTTACTTAGCTTAGTTAGAAGCATTGTATAGGAAATATTGAAAATCATAAACCCTTGTGTTGGTATCTTGGCCAGAGTTAGTCGAGTTATGAAGTCTTTGTAATAGAGTTATTACAAAGTGGCTTGTAACGGTGTTGTTACAAGTTAGTGAGTGATTAAGTCTTTGTAATAGAGTTATTACAAAGTGGCTTGTAATAGTGTAGTTACAAGTTAGTGAGGGATTAAGAGGTTAATTCCCAGGTTACAATAGGTTGTAATCTAAAGATTACTCAGTAGTGAAGTTGAAATCCTACAAGGGTATGTCGTGGTTTTTAATCCCGTTGGGCTGGGAGTTTTCCACGTAAAATTCCTCTGCATTCTTTATTTATTGCCGATTTACTGTGGAAACAAATAGAGAACCTGATTCCCTATACTGATAGTCTGTTGCTTACAGTGGGAACTGATAGAGACCCCAATTCTCTATGCGGTTTGGTGGACAGTTAGTTTCTATCACATTCTCATATTTTTCTCGGTTGATATACATGGCTAGAATCTGAATCAATTTAGAAAATTAATACAAATTTATTAAGGTCAATTAAAAAAGACAGTCTAGTGCACAAAGCATTCCGCATGCACGCAGGGTCCCGGGAAGGGTCGCACCCTTTAGGATGTGATACAGATAGCCTACTCTAATGCAAGCATTAGTGGCTACTTCCGCGGCTCGAACCCGTGACCTATAAATTATATGGAGACAACTTTACCGTTACTCCAAGGATCCCCTTTAGGCTGCGATCACTTAGTTGGTAAAAATTATAATTACCTTGCCATCATCGGGAAGAACCATAGCAGTAGCAAGAAAAGAGTAACCAGTAAAAACACCAATTTCCATAGTGTTCTTGGCATTGATGAGTTTGAGAAGCAACAACAACATACCTAGTAAAATCCCACTGGGGTTCTGGGAGAATAGTGTGTATGCAGACCTTACTCCTACCCTGAACCTTGACTTTGATTTTATTCTATTTAGACTAGAACCCTATCCCCTTGAAATAAGAAATGAATGTTTCAACTGTGCCAATGGAATCTTGACAGTGATTACAAATTATGATACATTTGTTGATTACAAGGGCTTGTAAGACATCCACCTCTTGAGCATGGCCAGACATTCCCGAGGCTTATACTCTGGTGCAGTATGCCCTGCTCCCTGTAACAAAATAATGCAATTTAAACACCAACTATTAGACAAATCTTTTTTTCTTAAGTGAGAAAAGAAAGTGAAAGAGATCGATTGAGAGACTAGTTCAGTAGGAGGTTTTCATGCCTTCACTGTGGCAAATGTCATCCGATTTGAGTAACTTCTCGTGTAACTGCAATCATGCAAAAGACAAAAAACCGAGTTTAACTTCTATATCTTGACAGAGCATACGACTATTGTACAATGTGTTTGATCAAGAACTAACCCGGCAACTTGATTGTCAATGACCCACGGTCGCCAATCATCAATAATGGAGTAGTTAAGAGATTTTATCCATGCTTGAGTTGATAGGGAGATAACAACCTTGTCATGATCTCCACTGCTTAATTAAAAAAACATCGACAACTAAGTATTTAATTTCACAGAGATAATAATCTTCAACTATATGTTGGTAGTTATTCCAATCTTGCAAACACAGTATTCTTACTCAACCTGTATATAAGAGATCTGTAACCTTTAGCACTGAGGTTTGCATGATATGGTATGCTACTCATGACTGTCTTTTGGTATTGCAAACTTGCACATCTTACCCATTTTCCAATAGTTCCCTGTAATCAAATTGATCATATTTTAGTTTTGTGCAGCACACTTTGTCATATTTTGTTATTCTTCAACAAGAACTAACGTAGAAAAGGGCAGCCCCGTGCACAAAGTAATCCGCATTCACGCATGGGGTTGTGATATAGACAGCCTACCCTAATGCAAGCTTTACTGCTTCCACGGCTCAAATCCGTGCTCTATAGATCACACAGAGATATTTTTACCGTTGCTCCAAGGTTCCCCTTCCAACAAGAACTAACGTACCTTTCGGATATGGAGGGCCTCTCTAACTTGGCCATCATCAGCCCAATGAGTAGAATGCTTGTACCAATCATTCTAAATCAATTGCAAGTTGTAAATTCTCGTAAGTATCTCAGTGAAACAAAAAATCAATAGCATAAAGAATTCAAGACTTTGTTGATGAGTACCCACGCGACACTTTAGCGCAGGAAATTGTTGAGGATTGTTAAGTTCATCAGACTTCTCATATCTTCTTTGGCCAAACAATAGGTGTGGCTTTGGTGAAGCAAACTGACATTTGGGATCCAGAATATGGGGATTATTAATTCTTTTCAGAAGCTGCATAAGGTCAGTATGTTAATGAACCTATCATAAAACAAACAGATGATATTTGATTTTCCTCAAAATAGGATCCAACCTCTTGAAAAGTATGAACATCTTGCAAACATTGTGTATTGCTTGGATCAGTGTTTTGATACTCTCCTTTACAATTTCTCGTCAAGGACTATTTGAGAAAGGGAAATCAATTAGTTCTAAGGACAATGTAAGCAAACTAAATTAAAGCGCATAACTGAAGGTGGGACTTATTTAACATGTTACTCCATCTGTTTCAATTTAAATGCACATTTCGCTTATCGAGAAATAAGTCCCATTCCATAAGCAAATGGAATATCATAATTCTTTTCACCTTTAAAAGTCGATGGATTTCCGAGTAAATATATCTGAAACCATTTGAAGAGAGATATTAGGTCATACATTTTGCAAATCAAATGACATTCTTCAGTGACCTTTTATTTATGTGTGATGGACTGATGAGGGCGGGTCAAGCAGGACTGACACGCTTCTAGGCTGGCAAGCTTATGAAGAAGGGGTGCACATGTCACCTAAGGAAAGTGATGAGCTTTATAAAGATCCATACAAGTACACATGGTACGCGCGCTTTTGGGGCTCGAGGTGGCATAACCCAAAAGACAACTCCAAGCGGGTCTAAGCCCAAAGCGGACAATAAGTGCCATGGGCTTGAGCTGTGACATTCTGATAACAATTTCGTTACAAATTCTGAGTTGGTATATAATCAGTCCACTTATCCCTGAGAGAAAAGAGAATAAATATAAGAAAAATGACAAACCTTAAGATCCATAAATGGTTTGATTCCCATTTTATTCTCTGCATATCACAAGGCCACAAAATGTGAGAGCATAATACAAGAACTGAACATCTTACTGCCTTAGGTTTACTTGTTTCACAACTATTTGAGGGCAAATATAGTTTTACTAGTTGCTATAATTTGAGTAATGATGGGAACGAGCATCCCTGAATACGAGTCGCCGCCAACATACAATGGATTCTTTAAGAATTCTGGGTGATCAAGGAACCACTGCAAACAAAATTAAATTATTGACTGTTCTTCTTATTGAATAACATTTGAGGGGGAAAAGAGAAAATAATTGTAACTAATAATGGGGTGAAGAATCTAATTACCTTGTAAAGGAACTCATATGCTTGATCACTTGCTTGTAAATTTGATGATTGTAAAGCTGCTGGAGTTCTTGCATAGGAAAATCCAGTGCCTACTGGTAAGTCTAAGAAAATTATGCTTGCCACCTAAATAATTCCGTCATACTTTAATATTTTGAGTTGTGCAGAAATATTATGTACATAATACAGTTATAATTCACAATCAAGTACTTACCTTTGTCCATGAGTAAGGATTCAGTTTCATTGTAGGCACACTCCCATTGTATTCCACTGGCTCAAAAGTTATTGGTCCTTCATATATTCATAAGCTAAAAAGTAAAAGTTAGTAAGAGAGTAACCTAAATGTCTTGTCGAAAGCCAGAAAATTTGGTGATTCAATTCTAGTATAACACTATTCTGGGGTGTTTTAAATGATCACAACCCAAAGTCTACCCTTTAGGTTGTAGTGTGAAATCAAGAACTTTAATTTCTTTGGGGAAAGGGGTTAATCCCACGTATGGTTATTGAATTTTACCCACTATAATTATAATTGTTCAGTGTGTGAACAAAGTCCATATTGGTAAGTGAAAAGATTGTGAGGCAACATATAAGATTAGGGATCCGTTAATGGTGAGAAGCCTTTGGGAAAAACCACGAGGGCTTGGTCTAAAGCGGATAATGTCATACCATGAAGATTATCTTTGGGGTAGTTGAGCCCGACACCTGGTATCAGAGCTCAGTTTCAACGGGATGAATATCGTGATGGCATGTGAAACTTAGTTCAAGGGGAAATGGTTGAGTGTGTGAACAAAGTCCTATATTGGTAGCTAAAAAGATAAGATGTAAGGATCTCTTAGTGGTGAGAGACCTCTTGGGAAAACGTGCGGTCTTACCTAAAGCACACAATATTATACCATATTATTAAGCCGTTTTAGTCCAAGAATAACATAAAGTTAAAAGACTATTTTTTTCTCACAGTAAATTGAACTTAATTTACCCACCATGACAGTGAAGTTAACATTTTACTAACTAACCAAATTAATGTTTATCATATATAAATTTAACCATGTAAAATAGTTTAAACTCTCCGTCAATAGAACTTAGGGGTCGTTTGGTAGAGTGTATAAGAATAATGCTGAATAAGGTGTATTAGTAATGCTAGTATTAGTTATGCTTGCAATATGCTAGCATTAATTATGCTGACATATTTCTTATCCATTGTTTGATTTGATTTATTAAAGCATTGCACAATTTCTAAAAGAATTATTTGTTTACAAAAATACCCTCATAACTAGTCCATCACTTTATCTTTTAAAAAGAAACATATGTTGAAGAATGTTTTATATGAAAAAGGTTAAAAAAAAATTATTTGATTTGTCTACCAATATTGTAGTATAGAACGGAATATTTATTTATAGAACAAAAAATATGCTACGTATTTATTTATTTACTAGAGATATAATTTTATTTTCCACTTTCTTGGATTATTTCAAATTTGCATTAATATAATAACATTTTTAATCAAGCATAAATTTTGAAGGATGATATTGTCTTTAACTAAACTATTGCAGGCATTAGAACCCATTGCATTGGTAATACAATGGTTTCTTATGTATTAATTATGCATAGGATAATACCAAATATGGTGTATAACTAATGCGTATAGATTTTATTAGTACACAAAGTAAATACACGCACTAGTTACTCTAATGCATCCTGCCAAAACCACCCCTTAAACTCGTATGACATACCTATCTAGGGGTGTGCATTCGAATCGGTTTATCGATAAATCGAATCGATTATTTGTTATCGGTTTATCGATTTCGATTTCAAAATTTTCCTTATCGATTTATCGATTTCGATTTCGATTTTGTCCTCTTCGATTATCGGTTTATCGATAAACCGATAAGCTACAGTAATTTTTTTTATTTTATTTTTTTTTATTTTTTTTTTAAAAAAATTTTAATTTTTTAAATTTTTTTTACCCTTATTCTATAATACCCTTTCCTTTACCCTAAGTCCTTAACCCTATTATTTCCTCTACCACATTTAAGGAATGATCATATTTAAAGCTCAAGTAAATGAAGTTCAAATTAATGGAAAATAGAATTAGCTGTGATGATGTATTTTGATTTTTTGTTTGTTTATACCGTTGGAGTGTTGGTGGCATACATTTGATCCCTTACTTTAGTTTCGTTGCATGTGCTTGTTGACACAATTTTTATGTTATAAACAATGCTCTTCTTATTTTAGCTTCCTTTTGTCCATATTAGTTAGGTGTGTTTGTAGCGATATACTTTCTGTGGAATCCCGTAAATTTTCTTATTGGTGTAATCGATAACCGAATCGATAAGCCCCAAAAATCGATAAATCGAAATCGAAAAAATCGAAACCTTATTGAAACGATAACGATAAGCATATGTACAAATCGATAATCGATAAGTAATTATCGATAAGGGTCAAAATCGAATCGATAAATCGAATGCACACCCCTATACCTATGTCATAGATAAGCCCCGATAAAGCAGAGCAACCAGGTCCTCCTGTAATCCAAAGTAGAAGAGGGTCTGATTCTGGATTAGACTCCGACTTAATAAAATAGTAGAATAGTTGCACATCTTCTGAATCACCTACTCCAATATACCTGGAAACACAGTTTTAATCTAGTTAATATCAAAACCTTAACCATACTAATATGTAATGATTCTCACAAAGAAAACTACAAACATGTAGAGAAAACTAATTTCCAGTTTCTCACCCAGTTTCCAGTTCAAAAGGAAGCGGTCCTTTAAATCCTGGAAGTAACTTCACTGGTGAACCAGCTATTGCAAGCTGTGAGCATAGCTCTGTTAGAACAAGAGCTAAAAGCAAATAACTTAGCCCTATTTTTGCCATATTTCTTATCCAATAAAGTTTGCTTAAAGTTAAGTTATACTATATATAATACTCTGTATTTCTCGAACTTCAACAAAAAAGCTACAAGACAAATGGGACTTTTTAGCTTATTTGAGTGTTTGGATAGACAATAAAATTGTTTTTAAGCCAAATACTTTTAAGTTAAAATACTCAAAACAAGTTAAAAGTAATAAGTTGGAATTGCTCAACTTATTACTCTGGCCAAATACATAGGCAGCCCATTAAGCTTTGTTCCATTTTGACCCTTCAACCCTATTTCTTTTATTCCACTTTAACACAAAAGCTGACTAGATTTCATGTGTGATTTGACTCACCCTTGTAGGCGCGTGAGAGCCATTTTTAAGCCAAATTTCATACTCCCAACTTAAAGGCGGATCCAAAATTTAAATCCTATGGATTCAATTTTAATATTTTTAGCATTGAACCCATTATATTTTTAAAGTTATGGGTTTATATCTTCTTTTTTTTTTTTACAATTTTAATGAATTTTTACATTCAAATTTTACTCCGCGTCGACAAGTTATGGGTCCAGTTGAACTCGTAGTTATTACTGAAAATATATATAAAAAATATTTTTTCCACGGGAAGGGGGCAGAAAAAACAAAAAAAAGTAACAATTTGAAATTACAAAAAAAAAAATTGCGGGGATTGGGGATGGGGGTAGCAGCAGGGTAATGTCCACGCTTACATTTTTACCTGGGATAAAAGATTTTGTGTGAAAGCGGAACAAAAGAACCCATTATATTTTTAAATGTTATGGGTTTATATATATTTTTTTGACAATTTTAATGAATTTTTACATACAAATTTTTTCTCTGCATTGAAAGTTATGAGTTCAGTTGAACCCGTAGTTATTACTGAATGTATATATAAAAAAATATTTTTTCCTCAGGATNTAGCAGCTGGGTATTTGCACACGCTGCATCTTTATCCGGGAGAAAATTTTTTGTGTCAAAGTGAAACAAAAAAATGGAGTTAGAGGGTTAAAATGGAACAAGGCTGAGTTAAAGTGCCAAAATAAAAAATTAGGCCAAGTTTAATGGCATGTATATATGTATTCGGCCTATTGTTTCTTGGCTTACAATATATTTGACCAATTAATTTACTTTACTATCCCTTTCAGTTTATTTAAACCCCAAAACTACCCTTCCGTACAAATTAAATCCCTGTGCCAGTTCTAACCGCCGTTTTTAGTCTTGCCGTTGTTGCTGTCTTTCTAAAAAATTTGTCAATTTCGTGAAGTTCTAAACTTGAAGCAAAACAGTAATTTTTTAAATCAATATTTGATACATTCCAATATTTTGTAAATATTATTCTTTTAGTTTTTTTTTTTGGTTCTACAACATTTAAGTTTTTTTGTCGTTGAATTTTTCCTTTTTTTAATTGGTGTAATTATATTCTAAATCAAATCATTTGATGAGTTTATATGTTACCACATAACTTGAAACTATGAACGGAAAACTCACCTTTTTGACAAAAAATTATTTATTGCATATTATTTAAATTGAATGTGAATTAAATTATAAATTATTTTATATGCGTCAACTTAGAATAAAATATTATAGTAATCATTTTCTTTATAATTAATGTTAATAATTTTAAAGATATTTCAATTATTTTAATAGAAAAAAATGCTTACCAGCACTAACACTTCAATAGTTTTTTTCAGCTTCAGTATTTTTATCCAAACACATAACTACGTATTTGTAAAATAACTTCAATATTTAAAAAGTACTTTTAAACATTTATACTTAAAATCACTTTTTTTAAGCCAATTCAAACGGATACGTGTTCAAGTTGATTACCAATTATAAGAAAACACAGTCTGTTTCTTGATTTTTCTAGGTCCTGATGCAATAGTTTGAGACGCAACGCGCTGAAATTAATTGTCTGTTTTCTTCGCCATTTTTTTATTTTATTTCTCACTCCTTTTCTCCTCTTCTTATGAATAATCTATTGTGTTATTGTTAGGGTGTCAGTAAATATTTAAAAATCGACTAAACCAATCGAATTGTACTATACTGAACCAATTATTATTTTTTTAATAAAATTATAGGTTTTTATATAATTTGTAACCGTACCATTAATTAGGATTTATTTTTTATTTGTGAAAATAAACGGAACTGTACCGAATTAAGTTACATGTGAAATATATAGTTATATATTAAGTTCAAAAATATTAAATTTTTCCTTGGGCCTTGAAATTATGAGAACGGTTACAGGCCAACAAGTAACTAAACTCAAAATCCGGATTCCCAAACCTATTTTTCTACTCCCGCTTACTTTTAGCAACTAGTAAAACACAAAATATTCTAGTGATTATGAGTAGCAAACTACAAAGAATATGTTTCTTTTCATATGATTTAGATTTATCTTTTTGAATATTAAATCTTCTATTGACTTTATTCTTGAATTCCATCTTGGTTAATATTTTTCCACTTTGTGATTTATATTTACTTTGTCTTTACTAAGTTTCTTTTACTATTTTGTGGAATAGTTGATGGATCTATACTCTCGCCATCTTTCATATTTCTTAATTCATCACCTTTTAAATAATAAAAATATCCAGAATTTTGTTAAGTCGTATAAAAATAAGTATGTTATTGCATTCTAATATAGACTTTTATAAGACATTAAAAAAATACCAAAAATTAACCGAACCATATCAATATCAAAGATAAACCAACATGATAATTGGGGCGGCTCCGAAAAGTTTAATTTTGATTATACATAATAGAATAATTGGTAAACTGGTATGGTATAAATTTTATAAAATAACCGATCAAATCGAATCATTGGTACCTCTTGTTATCGTCATTGCTTCTTCTTTTCTAGTAATTTGTTTGACGTTGTGAGATGTCTAAATTCATGCTTTGACCCTGCGAAGCATTTGGAGGTCATTTGATACAAATTACTTGCATACAAAAGATGATGCAGACACGAACTTATAGTAAATAATTATATTAATCTTTCGAATTATGAATATATAACTACTCTTTGGTTTAATTTGTTAGTTATATAATCGTTATTCAAAAAGATCTGGAGGTCATAATTTATTAACAAAACTAATCATGTAATTTTTTTAAATTGTGCAATAAAATATAGTTGCCTAATTATATCAAGACGAAAGCAATTGACTCAGTTCAACCACATAACTAGCTCTAGATTCGCTTTAATTTTGGTTTATCAAGTACAAGTTTAATACCAACCTGTATATAGGTGACCTAAAACCTTTTAACACTGAGATTCACATGATATGGTTTGCTGTTCTCGATTGTTTTTGTATATGACACACCAAAATTGCATATGCATTCGCTGTTCAGATCACATGATACGTTTTTGTAATTAGATGATGCTTTCATTATCATACTACACTTGTTGTGAAGTCTAACATACTTTTTGGACATGGAGAGCATGTCTAACGTGGTCATCATTAGCCCACTGATAAATGAGCTGGTACAAATCTGTATATAATAGTCAGAAAATAAATTGAGTGAGTTACTAAAGTAATTTAGCGCTTCCCCCGCTTCAAATGTCATGAATTGTCATGACCCGGATATCCCACCTTCGAGAGTCGTGATGGCGCTTACTGGTGAAAGCTAGGCAAGCCAAATTATTCTAATTACTTAACCTTTTCCAGTTTTAAACCATTATCAGTGATGAGTAGATATCATGCAAATAGCGAAAATAATTAAGTGGAAGACAAAATCTGATAAATTAATCTTAATACAAACTGCAGAAATCTAAATACAACTCTACCCAGAATTTGGTGTCACAACTTCACAGACGGTCTAAGAATACTACATACAAAGTCTGAAAGATAAAATACACACTGTTTCTGAAATGAGTAAAGGAAATAGGATAAAGGAAAGATAGGAGGTGATGCCAAGGCCCGCGGACGCCTGCAAGACTACCTCGGGTCGCATGTTGGACTGAAGACAACAACCTTACTGTGGTCCGAAGTCTATAACACTGGATCTGCACAAAACAGTGCAGAGTGTAGTATTAGCACAACCGACCCCATGTGCTGGTAAGTGCCCAGCCTAACCTCGGCGAAGTAGTAACGAGGCTAGGACCACACTACCAAATAAACCTGTGCAGTTAAACCGTATACAGCGGAAATAGAAGCAGATTATCACAATTAAAATTGGGCGGGGGAAACATGCTGCAGGGAGTTGTGACGACCCGGCCAGTCGTCTCATGAGTTACCGCTCCGTTTTCCCTATTTCTGTTTCTTTTTGCTTTATTATACGTGTTTTGTGGTATCGGGTTGGTCGGATCGAATCCGGAATAATTTTGGTAAGGTTTGAGGCACTTAGTCTCTTTTAAGAAAGCTTAAGTTGGAAAAGTCAACCGAATGTTAACTTATGTGTTAAAGGGCTCGGAAGTGAGTTCCGAGGGTTCGATTAGTTTTGGAAGGTGATTTATGGCTTAGGAGCATGATCTGAATGAATTTTAAAGGTTTGTAGTAGATTTAGGCTTGAATTGGCGAAGTTGATATTTTGGCGATTTCCGGTTTGAGGCGAGATTTTGATATAGGGGTTGGAATGAAATTCCGAGAGTTGCAGTAGTTCCGTTGTGTCATTTGGGATGTGTGTGCAAAATTTCAGGTTATTCGAACGTGGTTTGGTTGGATTTTTTATCAAAAGCGGAATTCGAAAGATTTTAGAGAAGTTTGGCTTGAATCCGATGTGTTTTGGGTAATTTAATGTTATTTGAGGTGTTTTGATGATTGGAATAAGTTTGAATAAGGTATTAGGATGTGTGTGTCCCTTTGGTTGAGGTCCTAGGGGCCTCGGGTGGTCAACCAGATCATTTTGAAGTTAAAAAAGTTGCAGAACTTGCTAGTTCAGCAGTTGCAGGTATTTACTCTTCGCGTTCGCGAGTGGACCCTCGCATTCACGAAGAGTCAACTGAGGGAGGTGGAAATTTAGCCTTCGCTTTCACGAGGTAGGTTACGCGTCCACGAAGGGCTACGA